AGTACCCCTCGTCTTCTTTTTCAGGGGGAATTTCCTCAGATGAATGTTGAAGCTAGGAGCCTCTGCACAAGCACATCAAGAAGGATAAAATCAACATTAACACTCACATCTACAAAAAGGCAAATATACGTAAACACTCAAGTGAACAAGATCGAGAATCACCTGGATCATTGTCAATGCGAACAAGATCGAGAATCTCCTCAGTAGGAGGAGAAAGAGTTTTATGGGTGAGCAGACCGCAAAAGTGGAGAATATTTTCATCACCAAGGAGTTTTTCAGACTCAACGGACTTGGCATTCCAAGTGTGAATCCGTTGGTCGAAGAGATGGTTCGAAGGAGGGGCCGAGGCCGCCTCTCGCGAGACTTCCTTGATCCAAGGAACGGAAGGCCATGGGAAAGGGGCGTCAGGTCGAACAAAAATAAACTTATCACTCCACTTGGGGAGGTTAGAAATGTCGTTGATGAAATGGGCGCCATTACGGCTTTTCAGGTAAAGGCCTCGACCTTGCTTCGAAGGGCCATAGCAATAGTGGAAGAAATCCAGATCGAATCGACCCAAACGGACCTGACAAAGAATAATGAAAACGTTCATGAAACGGATAGCATTAGGGGGAAGTTGGTGCAGGGGAAGAGAGAACCACTCGCAAATGCGAAGTAGCTCAGGATTTAGAGGAAAACGGAGACCGAGTTTGAACTGAATCTCGAAGAAAGTATAACAATCTTGCGGAGGATGATCATATCTGTCAGAGGGAGAAGATCTAAGGAACGCCCAACCAAGAGGTTGGCTGATTTTTTCAAGATTGAACCAAAGGGTGAGAAAGAGAGGTAGAAGATGGGCGCTTGGAAGGTTTTTTGGTCGAGGACCGATTGGGCGGAGAATTTGAAGAGGGAGGAGCAGTGGGCTGCGAAGAAATAACCTCGTCCTCCTCTGGCTCGTCTAACGCACCAAGAGCAGGTCGACGGCGGCGGAGAGGAAGATTATCCATGGTATCCCCGGAGTTTGGAGAAGCGACGCGGGCTGTGAAAACACGGGTAGGAACTGTGTCACCGGGGCGAAGGATAGAGAGGGGGACAGCTTCGAGCGCAGAGGGCAGTATTTCAGCCGAATCAGAGGAGGTCTCAGAGTCTGAAAAGAAAATCAAAACAAAGACAAAGAGAACAATATCAAGAAGAAGCCGCCACAAGGAAGAAACAGGGGGAAGAAAGATTAGGGTTTTGGGAGAGAGCAATCCCAAAACCAGAGGAAAAATCTGGGAGGTATAGGGATGGAAATTTCAAAAATTTTCAGAGGAGAAGCAAAATCCTCATCATTCAATAGACAGACAAAAGTATTCCAAGCATAAATTCAACACAAGACACGCCAATTTGAAACAATTCGACAGACAGATCAAGGGTACCCAGTATTGAAAATCCAAAAACACACAAAATAGAACTACAAAGAATACAAATTCAAGGGCGGAGAGACTTACTCATAACCGTGGATCAACGAAAGATGGAAGTTTGAAAGAACGCAAGAGAAATCGCCGAGACAGTGAAGGTTTTTTGCAGAAAGAATTTTGGGTATAGAGGAGTTCGAGAGTTGCAGAGGTCAAAAAAGTCTAAAAATCTGCTAAGTGTTGATTTTATACTCTGAGGAGTCCAAGAGGTGGAAAGATGAAGACCGTTAGATTAAAGTTAGATCACACGGCGGAAAGCATTAAATTGCACGGCACTCTAAGTGGGCCCGTTGTGCGAGGGGGCGTCATCATTAAAGTACCTGACACACGCGAACAGGAGCGACGCGTGGCAGAAAACAGATGAGACATGAAGGATATGGGACAGACTACTTTATGCCTAACAATTAATGGGAATTTATTTGAAAAAATAAGCAGGAAACTCGCCAACCGGTCGATATCTGACGACGAGCCATCCTGGGGGTCGATAAGTACCAATTCACTCTTAGATCGAGTTACTCAGACTCGACCAGAGTGGGGGGGACTAGATGATATGGGATATTATTTACACAAGGCTAAACCGGTCTGTTTGGCCGGTCGAGAAGGTTAAACCAAGAGGGAGCCAAGCCTAAAGGCGGGAAGATCGAACATTCAGGGAATCGACCAGGCAGGTGGTCGACCAGTCCATCGCGTGACCAGACTAACGATCGAGCAACCCATCGCTCGACCAAATACATGATCGAGCAACCTATTCGACCTCAACAGGTCGATCGCTTCGAGGAACCAACAGTCGGCCTAGTCATGGGCGCGTGTATAATGGGCGCGCGTAAGAGCCTCTAACTGAATCCCAGGAGAATATTTACCCCATGTGCAGGGGGGACACGTGTCGACACGAGTAAAATAAGAGTAAATAGGGGCAAAAACAAAAAAATAATCAACGTCTCCGGAAAGGCTTGTGTTCGAACACGACACTATTACTTGATGTGGATAACATATATGTCTCGCACCATAGCA